GGAAACGGTGGTCCTGAGGAGGAGGAGAAGGCCAGGCCGGGCATGCCTGTCAGCAAATGGGCCTGTGAGAGTTTTCCGCAGGGGTTTTTTTTTTGGTGGTCCTGAGGTTGCTTTGTTGAGTCCTGCTGCTCCCGAGGCAATAAACTTTTTTTTTTTTAAGCAGACACTTGAGAGGTCATGGTGACAGTTTATTGACTTCTGTGTTGGAGACATCTTTCACCTCTAGTCATAAAGCCCCACAGATTAATTGAAAGAGGCCTAGTTCCCTCGGGGAAGGGTCACCTGCAGGGCGAGATGGCCTTCAGGTTGTCCTTAGGGAAGGAGCCTGTTTAGGACAGTTGTTTGTCCGCATCATTATTTAGCTGAAATGTTTTATTTGAGAGTTGGAGTTGTAAGGATGGAGACAAAAGCTGCCAGGTTATCTTTTATACAGGCCACAGTGCTCAGAGCTGCTGCCCCTGTTTGAATGCTATTTAGAGAAAGGAGAGAATGTTAACTATGATGGACCACATATGATGTAGTCTAGCCAGGCATGTAACCTAAATGGATGGGGTCATCTCTGCTTTAAAAGATGCGTAAATTTTGTACTAATTTAATATGGCTGGGATGTGGCTTAATGATTCAGGGCCTTGCAGTTCTTTTCTGCATCATCTGATCCTTGCAGACTGGCTGCCTAAAGAAAGGGAGATAAATAGATGGGGGAAGGTATATAATGGTACAAACACCAATTTAAGATGGTGAAGAGACAATACATTTATTAGGTGTTTGTTCGAGAATACCTGCTGGTGTGCTTGTGTACTTGCTTGCGTTGCAGAGATATATTGACATGTATGAAACATATTACTTGCTATTTCATGCCATACCATAAATTCTTATGGAAATACTGAAATATTTGAAACCTGTATTTACCAGCTCTGTCTTACAAATGTGGGATGGAAATACTGAAATATTTGAAACCTGTACCAGCTCTGTCTTACAAATGTGGACAATAATGTCATCTGGTGTATGCAGATTGTGTGATTTTATATCCACTTTTTTCTGAGAATTTTTTTTTTATTCCAATGTAAGTGCTAGTGTAACTTTGCTTCTGTTCTGATACAGGATTGTTGAACAATATATTGTTGAACAATATAAGGGCCTGTGAGGAAAAAAGTTATAATACAGTACTGCTTTGCAGATAATTCTACTGATCACAGAACAGGTAGAATTACCATACCTTTGTACAAATGCAACCTTTCCTAATATTTCCAAACACAGAATTTGCCTCTTTTATCATGACCACACATGAATTGACATTTTCAATAAACTACCTGCCACCACCTCAGTTTTTTTCCCCTGGAAGGTCATAGCTTGTCCAGGTGCTGTCAGTGTGTATGCAATCCTGCTGTTTTGTCAGTACCCACAAATTATATTTACTTGCATTTAAAGTGGTGTGCTATTTTGTTTCTCATTCACACAAATCTAGAAATGAATCTGCACGTTTCACAAACATTAATATTCTGCTGATCAGATGTATAACTCTGTATGAATAACATGTATGTTATTCTAGGTACCCGATCAAAATAAGCATATGGTGGTATTTGTTTATGTTTTGGTGAAAGAAAACTGCTACTGACATTGGCCTTTTCAGTGTAATAGAAAACATTGGGTCTTATAATGAATGAGTCAAAACCTGGAGTGAGTCTTGAATTTCTGCCACTGCTTTACCTTTTCATGTACCAGAAAATGTGATCAGAAGCTTCCAATTTTAAACTAAGCACAATTCCCCATGACATCCAAACTGAGAAGAAAGTGATTGGCTTAAACTGTGGTTAGTGAGAACAAGTTGGCCTCAAAACTTTGTTGGCCTCAAAACCCTCTAGATTTTTCTTACTAATCATAGTTAAGCAAACCACAGCTTCTTCAATTTAGACATATGGTTTAGTGTAAAAATGATCTCTGTTTCTGATGCATGAGGAGAAAGCACCGAGTATCTTAGCCATAGGCTCAAGCAGAGTCATTTATGTGGCAGAAAAATGTTTCCCATTATACATGAAACATTATGCTAAAATCACTAGAGTATTTTGCCCTGATGTAGCCTAATCTTAAAGAACTATTTGGAAGAAATCACTTATTCATAGAATTTTTCTCAAATAAGTTGAAACCATATTTCTGACTGTTTTTGCAAAATTCTTTTGTAATTCATGAATGGATATTTAAGTTGGGAACAAAAATCAGTTATTTTTATGGAATAGATTCTCTCGCCCCTAAACCTCCTTATGCTTCCAAAATCTGTTTTGGAATGTTGGGACACCCTGGGGAATAAAAAGAAAATTATATAAATGTTTTATAATGAAGAAATATATTATTCCTAACAGTAAGGTAGTGCTGTTATCAGAATTTTTTTAATTGGTTGCATGGAATATTTTGGAACTGTTGCCATTGCTATAGAACATGCTTTTTTTGCGTTCAGTTCTGAAAAAGCTAAACTCACTCTTTCCAAAAACATGCACCAGGGCTTTGTGTAAGGAATTGTCTAAATTCCTATCATTCAGGGAAACACAGTTTTCCTGACTTCTCTTAGTCCGGGACCAGGTTTTATGCAATATTAGGTGTTCTGTGTATGTGTGTTCTGTGCCTTCTGAACTGACCTATAGTGACCTTAATAGGGTTTTCAAGATAAGTGAGATATTTAAGGAGTGGTTTTACCAGTTCCGTTCCCCTAGTGAACTTCCATGGCTGAGTGGGGATTCAAACCCTGTTCATAAGAGTCCTAGTTTATAATTCTACGTTGCATTGCACTCTGAATCCTATTAGGGGCTCTGGGCTCACCTTTATTAAAAGATTTGAAGGGATCCAAAGGACCACAAGAAAACATATTATGTGGTATTTAAATTATCTGCAGTTCCTTCATCTTAGAGCTTAATGTATGCTTTAAGCCCATGTATTCTACTCATTATTCAGATAATAAGCAAATACAGTGATTGAAGTCCTATTAACAGGGCTCCCTGTGTTTGGGTGGACACAAATACATGAATGCCTTTCCATGATGTGATTTTTTTGTGGAAAAAATCTATATGGAACAGTGCGTCCTGTATGGATTTGTCCTCCATTTGTTATGTTGACTATGTGACAGTGAGACACAATGGGTGTATGCATTTATAACAGCCAGTTAAACCTGCACTTTTTATCATACCAGAAGTTAGCATATTGTGAAAATACAGCCTTAATGAAGCCTGCTGTGTTTCTTTCCCTATACTCTCAGTTTAGACGTTCTCAGATTTTCCAGAGACATTATCTGTCAGTCTGTGTGGAACAACTGATACACTTAGGAACCTGGTTTTAGGGAATTTATTGACGTATGGTGTGTATAGTTGCCTTGTTTGACCTTAGTTCAAAAAGGATTAGATCATTCAAAGATTAAACCTTGTATCTAAAGGTGTTTGTCACAACCTTCTCCTTTGGAGGGCATAGGCTAAGAACAAGATGCTAAATGCAAGTTACACGTTGATAAGATCTTCTGTGTCATCAGATCATGTACTGAGCAGGGTGCGATTGAGTCTTGCATTACTTAGTAGTTTTAAGGAATGTTACTAATGCACATAAGACTTGCAGCTATTTGATGCCTCACTTTACAGGAATCTTTATTATTTAGTAAACACATTCACCTTCTCTGCTCTGTTCTCTTGAATAAACCAGAAGAGATTTTTAAAAAATCAGTAGTGATTGCATATGTCTCAGTTTGCTAAGTTGCTAAGAAGCAGTGAAAATTACGAAGCAAAATGTATGTCCTTCATAAACAAATATGATTCTTGTTTACTATACTTGGCTATTTCTGCTTCATGTTAACAGAAGATTGAACCTGAAGAAATAGTTAATCACTGTCTCCTTGTGTGCAGTACTAACGAAGGTCTCAGAACCAACACTGCTGAGCAACCTCTACCAGTGTCCCTTCCACTACTGCTGCTATGCAGTAGCAGTCCCTCTGTCCCCTGTCACAATTTTGCCCCGCCCCCCAATTAGGATTTGGATTCAACCAAATCTCTTCTTCTGATGAGACAGCTAATTCATGGAGAGAGTGAGTGCATCTTAGTCTGGTCTCCCAACTTTGACCCTTCTACCTTGGAGGACTCTAGTAGGAGACTAGACTCTTTATGGGGTTTCCAGGTCATATGATTCTCTGCTTCTGTAACATGCTTATACACCCTTATCACATAAAGCTGTGCATCCAAGCAACATATTCATGGATGTTGGTTGATAATTATAATACTGTATTGAACATGAACAAGTCTGTTGTTGTAGGAAAATTATCTTATCATGGCAGCAAGATTTTCTTGAAGGTGGTTAATCATGGTATTTTGTCTGTAGAGGGATAACGTCTGCAATTCTGTTGTCATGTCTCATGTGGAATCTAAACTCCAATATGCTTTATAAGCAGTTTGGCTACGTGAGCCAGTGGCATTACAATCTTTGAACTATTTGCCTTAAGTCCTTCTTTTGTGCTATCTTCAACTCATCATATTTGTATCTTTTTAGTAATGCAGTAAAAGTATGCCCAGCCATAGACTTTGTTTCTGGGACTAGGTCACATGACTGTTTTTTGCATCTGAAATCTTAGTTGTTATTAACTATGATGTTTCAAATTCTGACTTCTTGGCTACTTTACATGACTTGAAAAAAACTAAGAAATGTGCATCAGAATCAGATAATTTCTCTAGCGTGTTTGAGCTTCTATTGCTGTTTCTCATCTAGGTTTATATTTTTTATGAAATGTTCCTTTAGGTATGAAAATTACGTTATTGTAGGACAGGTGCAGAATTTAACATTGCTGCTTTATCTAAGTCTTTTTTATCGTTCTCTGAACGTGCATCAGAATCATAATTTCTCTAGCGTGTTTGAGCTTCTATTGCTGTTTCTCATCTAGGTTTATATTTTTTATGAAATGTTCCTTTAGGTATGAAAATTATGTTATTGTAGGACAGATGCAGAGTTTAACATGGCTGCTTTTAAAAAAAAATGGTTCATACCAAAAGAACAAAAAACAACATTGGTGTGATTAAAGATAAAACAGGAAAAAAAATTGCAGTTTAATGAAAGAAAAATTAAAGATTATACAAGATTTTTATCAAAATTTATATAAAAGTAATAGTGCATCAAAAACATTGCTGCTTTAAAAAAAACTTTTTTGTAATTGTAAAAGACTTTTGGTTGGTAGCACTATGGAACAATAGACTGTGCTTGGAAACTTGTGTCACTGTAGTATCTGCTGGGGATAAATTAAGGATTAAGCAGGAGCAATGACAGCACTTTCTTCCTGAAACACTAATATTGCTGAATTAGATTGCAAGTGTAGTTTCCTGCCCGTAGGAAGCTGTGCACTAATAATTCTTGTTAGAATCAATAACTCTCACTGGTAAGTGTTTCTTAGGAACTGGCTTTTTGCCATAAGGACAAGATCTTGCTTCAAGCATAAGTTCCGTTAAAAGAAAAGCTTTTAATTGCAAGATATCCATTCAACATTGGCTGCTTTTAAAATTCTTTTCTAATGCTTTCTTTCAATAGATCTTGATCTAAGAATACAAAAATGAGTCACTTGCGGCTGATTGCTGCTAGCCTGAAACATCGTGGCATTTGTTCTTTGGTGAAGAAAAATGTAGACAGAAAAATGCTTCTGCCAAGTCGGAGTTATGTTTCATCAGGACTCACAGAACCTTTCTTGAGTGGAAGTAATTCAAGTTACATCGAAGAAATGTATTATGCGTGGCTTGAAAATCCAAAAAGTGTGCATAAGGTAATGTTGGAGGTGGGGAGGTTTACGTGTATAGTATATATGTATTGATTATGTAGATAAAAGTTATTGGGGGTTTTCTTCACCAAGACATCTGAAATGTGGTACATATAATGGCTCCCAACTGTTCTGAGTAGACATCATATAATGGGCTTGTAACGTTTCCCCGTTTTCTACTTCATCTCTTTGTGTATCTCATGCTTACTGAGAAATAAGGCCAACTGCATTCATTGGAACTTATTGGGCTAATAGTTGGGAGAGTCAGGTGGTGATTCCCCATGACCCATGAAGCCCACTGCATGACCTTAAACCACCCGTACACTCTCAGCCAAATCTGCCATACATTGTTCTGAGGATAAAGTGGCGATAATGGGGGTAGGCATAAAGTCATGTAAGCCATCTTGAGCTCATTGGAGGGAAGACTCATGTAAATGTAACTAACAACTAACCTACTGGCTAAATAGTCCTTTCTGCGTGTTTTTAAATGAATTAATGAGTGAGCAAAATCATTTCTGCAGGTATTCATTTGCATACACTCAAGGGTTCTTTTTTTAATATTTTAAAAGAATATTGCAAAAAAACCCAAACCCACTTCTTTGAATGAGGAACATACCACCCTTCCCCGTAAGATGTAGCTGGGGAGTGTGGTTAAAATCCAGTGTATATTGTATATTGATAGTAATTTGTGATGTTTGTGTATTTTTAAAAATTGTTTTCTCATTGTACATTTTCTTGGGTGCCTTGTATTAGGTGATTAATAGAATTTATAAATAAATGGCTCAAGATTATAAACCTAGGATATATCAGGTTCAGGTAAAATTCAAAGAAACAAAACAAAAGACAAAATAAAAAAAGACAAAGCATGTGACACCTTACATACTATTATATTTTAATGTGAGCTTTCGTGGACATGTCCACTTGTTAAGACATATGGAAACAGAATGAAATGTTGGATGAAATATCAGTTTCATAAACAGAAAATTCTAAATAGTCACTGGCTATAGGAATCTTAAGTGTGAAGTACATCGAAATGCAGCAATTCATGGCTCTGTTGTAAACATTCCTCCAGTGAGACAGAAAACAGAAACCAGGTCTGACGAAGGATGGAGGAGGAAAGAGGTGTGTGTGGTGGTGGTGGGGTTGAAGGCTGGGTATTCAAGAGTGGGGGGGAGAAAGGATATACAAAAGTACATATAAAAGTGAAAGAAGATGGCCGAGGAATCATGTGTGTTAATGTAGGAAATATTGACAGTTATGAGTGTTAGTGCTGCAAATTATATAAAATTCTGTATACTGTATTATAAATCATTCTCAGCAAGGCCTATAATCACATGGAGCTTCAGGGATAAGCAACATTCTGTCACCAAGCCTAGATTACTAGATTTATTGAGACTGTTAACACAGAGGATTCTGTTCTGCCCTTGTACTTGAAAATAATTTGTATATGAAACCAAGTAGTGGTACAGTTCTGCAATGGATGAAAGAGACTAGGAGTGCAGAGGCTTGTATGAAATAAGCAAACAAATTATGTTTAATAACACCATAAATACATCTAACTCTATTAACATTTGCTTTTCTGACAGAATTCAATACTGTTAACACAGAGGATTCTGTTCTGCCCTTGTACTTGAAAATAATTTGTATATGAAACCAAGTAGTGGTACAGTTCTGCAATGGATGAAAGAGACTAGGAGTGCAGAGGCTTGTATGAAATAAGCAAACAAATTATGTTTAATAACACCATAAATACATCTAACTCTATTAACATTTGTTTTTCTGACAGAATTCATTTATATATGTTATGAACATTTCTGTTCTGACATATAGTTGCACCTTTATGTTCTCATATTTGTACTCATAAAATGATAAAGTATTTACCTAATGATGATATTTATTAGCCATGTTAGCAGTGTTATAATTCATAGTGATATGCTTGATCTCATATCCTGTAATTTATGGCACTGTGAAGACATGTTTGCTAAATTTTGGGAATTGTGTCTTGAGAGATCATTCTACAAAAATAAGAATTAAATTACCATGTGCAGAAATAATTATGTGAATACAGAAAATAAGACATACACTTTTCCAGTGCCTGAATCTCTCTTGAAATCTAATTTAGATCTGTTAAAAGATCTAATTAAAATTATGTTTTGGTATACCTGAAAAAGTTGTCCATGTGAGGTTCCATATGCTCAAGAACAATTTTGAATGAATCAGTGGCATTTGATGTATGTAGTATTAGCATTTGCAGCCTGTAGAGAACTAGCATGCTAATTAAGTGCACATCAGAGCTGGTACAATGTGAAGTTTCCCATGCTCTGCTCAGGTTCACAATATACTTCCCACATCACGTTTACCAAACCATAATTTATTTAAACTATTTATGTCTCATTTTTCTGGAAATGTACCGCCTTCCAGAGTGGCTGAAAGAGTTCAATAAAAACAGTAAAACACAACAGTCAGCCAGTTACATAAAACAATGCCACTGAGAAGGAATTGTAAACCAGGTAAAATAAGCATTAGGGAGAAGAAATCTAAAAAAAACTTCGACCAAGAATTTTGGTGTCAGGGAAAAATTTCTTGAGAAAAACATTCCATAGTTTAGCCAATATAACCAAGATGGCTCTGTGGCACATTCACTGTGATCTGCTAAAAAGCCTCTAAAGAAGATATTATTAGGCAGGTGAGTTCATGATTAGAGATGGGGGTATTCCTATTTGTATACGAATGTGAATATCTCCACACAGCTGGACTCAATGAGGGTCCAGCCCCTAGGGCCAGACCGTCCACTCACATGTCCTGTGGCAGCAGCAGACCCACTCAAACTTCCAATCGCACCTGGAGTTCCACTCTCTTCCTGCTTGGCTGACCACTCAGCATCCGTGCAGGAAGACTTGCCCTTCCTCCCCCCCCCTTCGCCTGGAGTGGCCAGCTCAGTGGGAAGAGAGCGGTGGGTGCTCCAGGCACACAGAAGGATGAACGGGGCTGCCGCCTCCCGTGGATGCGCGAGCGGAACCCCCAGGGGCTTGACCCTCATTAAGTCCAGCTGCGCGGGGATATTCATATTCATATATGAATACGAATACCATACCCCCATCTCTGTTCATGATGGAGCTTCCTTAATGCGCACAATACTGCCATCTTAAGAGAGTAGGAATATATAGTGAACACTGACAGAGGATATAACAATTATTTTGTAAAACATAAGACATAATATTGAGATAAATGTGTTGTTGTGTCAGAAGCTACTTGAGATAGGATAAGTTATTACATGCTGAGATAATACTTTCAGTTGCTGTTAATAAATTAGTTATCAATTCTTTAATCCACATTCTCAAATATTGATAACAAAGCGATCCCAGGATTCAATTCTATGTCTTTTCCACATATATCATTTAATTCTTTAAAAATTTGTTTCCAAAATCTTTGTACTTTTTCACATTCCCACCACTTATGAAAGTATGTACCAATTTCCTTCTCACATTTCTAGATAACTAGCATTAATTTTATTTAATTTTGTTGGTGTTAAATACCATCTTAGACACAGTTTAAAAAATGTTCCCTTATTCTCACTGACATAAATCTTAAAACCCTCATATTCCACATCTTCCTCCATTCTTCCTCGTTTATCCTCTTTCCAAGGTCTTGTTCCCACACTAGCTTCATCCCTTCTTTATCATTTTCTTCTAATAATAGCTAGACAATGGAAATCAAAATCTGAATTTCAAATGGATGAATGGTATAATGAAATACGGAATATAGCTCTAAATGATAAATTGACTTGTAATATAAAGGTTAAGAAAGGAGAGTTGAAAAAGAATAGTTTTTATGAAATATGAGGCAGATTCTTAAAGTATGTATTAACAAGAGGAAAGGGGAAAGCTCCAAATCAAGAATCAATTCAGTTCTGGGGAAGAGAACAATAAAAGAAGAGGAAGAATATAGATGGAAGAAGAAGATTATAGCAAGAGATCCCATCTACGGTGGTGGGGAACACAGTTATATTGTATTTTGATTTGTGTACTGTATTTTATGTTTATGTGTATGTTTTAGATAAATATAAATAAAAATAGAATTTAAAAAAGAGATAATACTTTCAGTATAAGTTGTATGAATAACAGATTACAAAAAAAATCCTTACAATGTTTCTTTTCAAATGTAAGAAAACAGCAGTCCCAAACATTTTATCAAGAAATAAGTCTCAAAGAGAATAATGTGTGAGTAAATTTAGCTGACTGCCAGAGATTGAGAGTTCGATTCTCCACTGTGCTGCTTGCGAATAGAGCCTGCCTGTGTGGCCTTGGGCAAGCTGCACAATCCCAAGAGCCCCCCCAAAAAGGAAATGGTAAACCACTTTTGTGTATTCCCTACCTAAAAGACCCTGGAAAGGGATGTCATAAGTCGGAATTGACTTGGTTGCAAGCTGTTGTTATTATTGTTGTTAAATGAGTTTACGATTAAATTTTAATTGTCCAGCAACAATGTTTCCTCTCTGTCTCTCTGTTGTGTGAAGGTGCTCTTTGCTCTTTCTATGTTCTTCCCTAATAATTGTTTGCTCCACTAGTGCAAAGTAGCATCTGAAACAGCTGTGGGAATGAAATGACACAAGCTCTGAGAAAAGTGTCATTATTTTTGCTCATAGAGAGGTGTCAGGGCAATAGATCACAGGCAAAAGGCTTGACAAGGCTTTGTTATTGCTCTCACAAGATTAATTGAAAAATATCTTGGTTGCCTATTGAGTACATAGTAGTTGCCATGTTTTCTAGAATGCAACCAGTCTACCATGATTGCATAATAACTTCTGTGATTTTCTCTGCTTTGAGATGAAGATTGCTTTTCCTTTTCCTTTTTAGAAAACGTTACATTCCCTGACAATACTAGAAAACCACCCCCCTAGGATCATAGTATTCTACTAATCATTTTAATGGTGGTGGTAGAAATAGTTATAATTATAATTATGATAAAAATGGCAATACTTTTTTTCCATTAAGTTGTTTCTGACT